AGCTCCCAACAGCTCCTCTGCGCTGCTGGCTCAGGTTCTAGACAGGAAGTCCAGGCCCACAGGATGTCTGGTGTCCAGGAAGGTAGCCCTGAAGGCCTCGGAGGCCATCTGCTCAGTGGACGGAAGACAGGCCCTGAGAGAGGGCAGGGGCGTGCCGGAAGTCTCTGGAGCACCGTCTTCCTGAGGCCAGGCACGACTGTCCCCCACACCTGAAGACAGGGTGAGCTCACCTCTGGGAGCTCCGCCCAGTGCTGGGGCCTCCAGGGCCTCAGGAGCCACTAGGCCCCATCAGATGCTCCTGGCATCCTGGGTGGTGAGATGCTGCTGAGTCTCCAGGGACCGTCAGAGCCCAACCCCAGTGCCCGCCCTGGGCACCCAGGAGGGCAGAGGCTGGGTTGCTCTGTGGCACCCATTCAGCGTGTGGGCCCTTGAATGTTTATGGAGTGACTGCATGAATGTGAGCAGAATCCAGGGCAAGCCTCTGGCCTAGAGCACTTCCCGAAGGTTCCTTGGGGCTGGGGGAGGGCCTTGTGGCTATCTTCAGAGTGTAGAAGACCTTTGGCCCAGCCGCCCTTCTCTGTGGCACCTGTTCAGCTGCAGTAGGAGTGAAAAGATTGGTGTCTGTCAGGCCGTGCTGACCTTGCAGTCTCTGCTGTGGGCCCAGATGCAGCAGTAAAACTAGGAAGGGCCCAGCCCAGCTGGCCACCCTTCCTGGCCCTCCACCTCGCTCTACTGTCTCTTTTTTCATAGTACTTATCTTTTTTTACCTACCATGTTGGACTTTCCTGGCTTTCTCCAAGAATAACGCCCCGATAGGCGGGGATGTTTGTCTCATAGGGCATCCACCCTGGAAGGGTGCTTGGCTCTGGGCAGAGACTCAGCAGATATTTCTCCAGCTGGTAAAAACACACACGCTCTGGTGAGAGAGGCAAACGATGAACAAGCAAGAAAACATGAGTGGAGATGTCTGCCGTAGATCAGATAGAGCAGAGTGGTTTGACCAGGCTGAGTGACCGGGGGGCCGTGCTAAGATCTGTGGACGAGTGTTCCAGGCCCAGGGCACGGCAGCACCAGGTCATTGTGTCCGAGCATGTGGCCCGGGCAGAGTGAAGTAGGCTCCCGGGGAGAAGGGGCTGACCGGGGATGGGGCCCACTGTGGGCTTTCAGTTGCTTTGTGACTCTTCCCGCCACCCTGAAATAGCGACTCAGGAAGGGAGCTGACTCAAGGGAGACAGCCCGCCAGCCTGACTTCCCGTGTGTTTCAGTACGAACTGAGAAATGGATGGCTTGGAGTCGGACTTCAACCTGAAAGTCGTCTTAGTCAGTTTCAAGCAGTGTCTCAATGAGAAGGAGGAGGTGCTGCTGGATCACTACCTCGCCGGCTGGAGGGGGCTGGTCAGGTGCTTTCGGGGGGCACTGCCTTGTGGGGTCCCCACGCTTCCCATGTGCTGTGCTAGGCGCTGTGCACACCCAGCTTCCGCCTGCTTGGGGCTGGCCAGCCGTTCTCACGCACAGCTTGGCCGGCAGCACCGAGCCTTCCTACCCCTGCCTGCAGGGGGACGTGTGCCCCAGGAGGTCGGGGGCGGTCTCACCTGCACCTGGGCTGAACTCCTACTTCCCCTCGAGCAGGTTCCTGAACAGCCTGGGAGCCATCTTCTCCTTCATCTCCAAGGATGTCACCACGAAGCTGCAGATCATGGAGCATCTGCGCAGCAGCCCCCAGCGGGAGCACTACAGCAGTCTGCAGTCCATGGTGGCCTACGAGGTGGGCAACCAGCTGGTGGACCTGGAGCGGCGCTCCCGCCACCCTGACTCGGGCTGCCGGACGGTGCTTCGGCTGCACCGTGCCCTGCGCTGGCTGCAGCTCTTCCTGGAAGGCCTGCGCACCAGCCCCGAGGATGCCCGCACGGCCATCCTCTGCACGGACTCCTACAACGCCTCTCTGGCGGCCTACCACCCCTGGATCATCCGCCGGGCTGTCACCGTGGCCTTCTGTGCGTTGCCCACACGCAAGGTCTTCCTGGAGGCCATGAACGTGGGGTCCCCGGAGCAGGCTGTGGAGATGCTGGGCGAGGCCCTGCCCTTCATCGAGCATGTCTACAATGTCTCCCAGAAACTCTACGCTGAGCATTCCCTGCTGGATCTGCCCTAAGGGCCAGCGGGCCAGGTGGGGCAGGTTTCCCCTGCAGAGCTGGGCTGGGGCAGCCAGTACCCACCAGTCCCACCATGGAGATCTGTGAGTGCCCCAGGAATGGGAAGAACACTCTCCTCTGCCAGCCAAGCCCGATCAGAGCCACGGGCACAGCACGGCCCTCTCGGGCTGTGCTTCTGGCCTGTGGCATGTGGGCCCTGGCAATCTGCTCTGCCCTTATCACCTTGCTCTGCCCAGGGGCATCTTTGCTTTACCCTCAGCTGAGTTTCATATGTGTCCAATCAGGCCTCACCCAGACGGTGAGGTGCAGAAGGCAGGGCGGGGAAGGGGTAGGATCAGCATTCATGGAAAAGCCGGAGAAGCTGCCCGCTGCCTGTGAGCCAAGTCGTGAAATGGGGCCAAGTCACAGGTCCCTGTGGCACAGAGACTTCATCCTGCTTGCCAGCAAGTACATTCAGCAGGTGCTTGTCCATCCCTGGCCCACCTCGGTGTCCATACCCAGGTACCCCCGGGCCCTTCCACCCAGGCTGGCCATCCCCAGGACAGGGATAGAACCCTTGGGCAGCCCTTGGCAGTGTAGGCTCTCTCCCTGTCCCTCACGTCCTTACTAGCCAGGGGCCCACATGTCCTTGACAGCAACAGCCAGGAGCTGAAGCCCTGAGCAGAGGCCTGCCCTGCCTCTCTGCACTCTCATCAGCTGCCCCCCGCGGCCACACTGTCAGTCGGGTGCCCCCCCGCCCAGGGAGCTGCGTGCGAGTCTGCGCAGCACAGCCCAGAGCTCTACGGAGCCCACAGCTCTGCCGGTCCAGGGCTAGCCTCTCCCTCCCCGCCACCCAGGGAGAGGCCGTGTTCCCTCCTGCCTGCCCCTTACTGCCCCAGCCCCACAGAGCTCAGGAGACCCAGGATGAGATGGCACATGGAGAGAGCCTGGACCAGATGCCCAGCTGACAGGCCAGCTGTCACCCAGCACGTGGGGGCCTGGCCTGTCCTACTGGCTCTCCACTGTGAGCTCAGGCCCCTCGATGCCAAGGGGACCGTATCCACTGTGCAGCAGATGTGCATACGTGTCAGCTTGCAGAGACCCTGGGAAAGTGTAACTGTGTTTCCAACATCAATAAATGCCATGGACAGAGCAAGCAGTGCACTCCGGCGGGGGAGCGGGGGCTATTGTGTGTGTCAGGCAGCTGCTTACTGCAGGGAGGAGGGGCGTGACCCCATGGGGCTGAGGCCCTACTGCCAGGCTCACAGGGCAGTGTCAACCACGGGGACGGGTGGCCTGTCCTGGCCAGCATGAGGCAGGGGGTGCTGCCTGTCTGTTTGTGTAGCCTTTAGCTTGGTCCCCCGAGCCCCCACCAAGGTCCACGTCACTATCCCCATGTTATAGGTGAGAAAACAATTACCCAAGGGACTGGGTTGGAAGGGCAGGTCTGAGGCCAACCGCACAGCTTGTAGGGAGAACGACCTACAAAGCCTGTGCAGGGGAGCTGCTCAGCCACAGCAGTGGTTGGGACCGAAGGAGGATACGTGTCAGGCAGCGTGCTCCTGGACGCCCCAATGTCAGACCCAAAGAGCAGAGTCCACTGCCAGGTCCCCTCCGCCGGCTCCAGGCCTGCCGCTTCGCCCGGTCCCGCAGGGACCGCAGCCAGCCCACCCGCTCTCCATCCTGCGGCTGGAGATGACCATGAGGGGTGCACACAGACATACAGGGGCCACGCACGGCATAGGTGTCATACGTGTGTGTGTGGTGTGTGCAGGTGCAGTGTGTGAGTGTGTGTGCTGCACACATATGTGCATGCCCCGAGCGTGCCACACAGCTTGGTCCCTCCCCACAGGCGGCAGAGATCAGATCCCAGACCACCTCCTATAAACATCTGCCAGGGTTAAGACCACCCAGAGCTCCTACTCCCCTCCAGGGGCATCGGTAGCCTCCCCCAGTTCCTCTGGGCGCCTACTGGGCACCCCCACACCTGAGCCCCGTGTCAGGTCCCCGGGGCACCCAGAGGCTAAGTAGGAACTGCTGCTGGCACATCTTTCGGGGCTCACCTGCACACCCCTGGTGCTGACCCAGCTTCAGAGGCCCATTTGGTTGTAGCCTTTCCTCCCTGCATGCCCAACTGTGCCCTCTGTCCCCAGAGGGAGGCACCTGCTGGGTCAAGAGCCCAGGCAGGGTGTGGGCAGAACCAGCCTCAGGGTCTCTGAAGTTTCTAGGCAACAGCCCAGCCCTGTTCTCAGACAAGCTGGGAGGCCACAGCCCCCACCCTGGGGCCCTCCCCACCCCAGCCACAGGATGGAGAGCAGGCGGGCTGGCTGGCCGCTGTCCTCCTGGCTGGTCTGCCCCCTGAGCCTGCAGGTGGAGCCACCCCTGCGGCCCACCCCTCACCCCTAACCCCCGGCTACTAACAGTCCTCCCCAGGGCTGGAAGAGGTGTTTCTGTACCTACTCCTCGGGGCACTGGCACCTCCCCCAGGCAGCTAGAGACCCCAGGATCCTCTGGCGGAGAAGTCCTGAGTGTCCCTCCTCCTTTCCAGGAATGGGGTGGGTGCAAAGGGGCTTGGGCACAGGCAGGTAACGAGATCATGGTCAGTGGTTGCTCAGAGCCTGCCTGCCCAGGTCACTGTCAGCCAGAGAGCCTGTGGGTGGGTGACATCAGGATAAAAGAGTCCAAGGAGCACAAACCTACAGGGCCCAGGAAAGCAAGGGTGTCCCCAGGGGCCCCTGGGCTTGGCAGATGAGGACAGGTGAGGATTTTGCTAAGCAAATCCTCTGCCCTCCCCTGCCCCAAGTCATCATATCAGGGCCCCCACCCAGTTCTCTCATTTGCCGTCCCTGCTGGAAGCCGCCACCTGCCATGCCAGGCCTGACTCTCCCGGGCCTCATGGCTCTCTCGGGCCTCGGAGCAGGCACCCCACCTTGACACCACAGTGATCCTTGGGCCTGCAGCATTCACCAGCTGCTTATCCCAGCAGCTCAGGATGCAAGGGGACTACGTGCTGGGCGGGCTCTTCCCCCTGGGCGCAGCCGAGGATGCAGGTCTCGGCGACAGGACTCAACCCAGTGCCACCGTGTGCACCAGGTAGGAATGCCAGGGGTGGGGAGTGAGGGGTGATGAGGGTGGAGGTGGCTCAGGTCCGGGGTGCTCCTGAGTGGGGACGAGGTGTCGGCCACCCGCAGCCCTGTGTGGCCCCAGGTTCTCGTCCCTTGGCCTGCTCTGGGCGCTGGCCATGAAGATGGCTGTGCAGGAGATCAACAACGGGTCTGCCCTGCTGCCGGGGCTGCACCTGGGCTACGACCCCTTTGGCACGTGTTCAGAGCCCGTGGTGGCCATGAAGCCCAGCCTCATGTTCATGGCCAGAGCGGGCAGCTGCGACGTTGCCGCCCACTGCAATTACACGCAGTACCAGGCCCGTGTGCTGGCTGTCACCGGACCCCACTCATCCGAGCTCGCCCTCGTGCCCGGCGTGTTCTTCAGCTTCTTCCTCATGCCGCAGGTGCGCCCCCCACCCACCCCCACTGGCCCTGCCTACAGGAGCCCCGCATCAGGAGCTGCCTCCCGGCCACTGCAGGTCAGCTACGGTGCCAGCATTGACCGGCTGAGCACCCGGGAGATCTTCCCGTCCTTCTTCCGCACGGTGCCCAGCGACCGCGTGCAGGCGGTGGTGACGGTGGAGCTGCTGTAGGAGCTTGGCTGGAACTGGGTGGCCGCCGTGGCAGTGATGAGTACGGCCGCAGGGCCTGAGCCTCTTCTCCAGCCTGGCCAACGCCAGGGGCATCTGCATTGCGCACGAGAGCCTGGTGCCGCTGCCGCACGCGGGCAGCCTGCGGCTGGGCACCGTCCAGGACCTGCTGCACCAGGTGAACCAGAGCAGTGTGCAGGTGGTGGTGCTGTTCTCCTCCGCCCATGCCGCCCGCACCCTCTTCAGCTACAGCATTCACTGCAGGCTCTCGCCCAAGGTGTGGGTGGCCAGTGAGGCCTGGCTGACCTCGGACCTGGTCATGACACTGCCCGGCATGGCTGAGGTGGGCACCGTGCTCGGCTTCCTACAGCAGGGCGCCCCGATGCCCGCGTTCCCATCCTACGTGTGGACCTGCCTGGCCCTGGCTGCCGACCCCGCCTTCTGCGCCTCCCTGGACGCTGAACAGCCTGGAAGAGCACGTGGTGGGGCCACGCTGCCCCCAGTGTGACCACATCACGCTGGAGAACATATCTGCAGGGCTGCTGCACCCCCAGACCTTCGCTGCCTACGCGGCCGTGTACGCCGTGGCCCAGGCCCTCCACAACACGCTGCTCTGTGCAGCCCTGGCAGGTAAGGGCGGGGAGCCCCCGGCACTCCCGAGAAGGAGCTTCAGCGGGGAGTGTGCGCTGGAGGCAGCTACTGGCCCAGCGCCCCCACTGGCTCCAACCCACCCACCAGCTCCTGGAGAACGTGTACAACACGAGCTTCCGCGCTCGCGGCCCGGAGCTGCGGTTCGATACCAGCGGGAACGTGAACATGGACTATGACCTGAAACTGTGGGTGTGGCAGGACCCGACGCCCAAGCTGCACACTGTGGGAGCCTTCGATGGCCGCCTAGAGCTCTGGCAGTCCCAGCTGCCCTGGGACACGCCTGGGGACCAGGTGAGCCCCAGCTGTGCTCCCCCCGCCACGAACAAGTTCTGGCTCTGCCGGGGCAGGGGCTGCGGGGGGGGGACCATCCCCAGGTCTGGGCAGTGCACCCGGCTGAGCACAACCTGAGCCCCGAGGCCCCGTGCCAGGCACCCGTATCCCAGTGCTCCCAGCAGTGCTGAGTGAAGGGCTTCCGCTCCTGCTGTTACAACCGCGTGGACTGCAAGGCCGGCAGCTACCAGCGCAGCCCAGGTGAGCCCCTCTCCCAGGCCTGCACAAGTTGAGGACGGGGGGGGCGGGCAGGGACCCACAGGGCCTCGTGTCCCGGCTCCAAGGCCAACTCTGAGGCCAGAGCAAGTGGGGTGGGAGTGAGGCCGAGGAGCCCGTGCCCCCCCCCATGTCCCCTCTTTGGTCCCACACCACAGATGACCTCCTCTGCACCCAGCGTGACCAGGACCAGTGGTCCCCAGACCAGAGCACACGCTGCTTCCCCCGCAGGCCCACGATCCTGGCGTGGGGGGAGCCAGCCATGCTGGTACTGCTTATACTGCTGGGCCTGGCGCTGGGCCTGGCGCGGGCGGCCCTGGGGCTCTTCATCTGGTCCTGGGACAGCCCGCTGGTTCAGGCCTCAGGCGGGCCACGGGCCTGCTTTGGCCTGGCCTGCCTGGGCCTCGTCTGCCTCAGCGTCCTCCTGTTCCCCGGCCAGCCAGGCCCGGCCAGCTGCCTGTCCCAGCAGCCCCTGCTCCACCTTCCCCTCGCCGGCTGCCTGAGCACACTCTTCCTGCAGGCGGCCCAGATATTTGTGGGTTCGGAGCTGCCACCCAGCTGGGCAGAGCAGCTGCGTGGCTGCCTGCAGGGGCCCCGGGCCTGGCTGGTGGTGCTGCTCGCTCTGCTGGCGGAAGCGGCACTGTGTACCTGGTACCTGGCGGTCTTCCCACCGGAGGTGGTGACGGACTGGTGGGTGCTGCCCACAAGGCGCTGGTGCATGCCGCGTGCGCTCCTGGATCAGCTTCGGCCTGGGGCATGCCAATGCCACGCTGGCCCTCCTCTGCTTCCTGGGCACTTTCTTGGTGCAGAGCCGGCCAGACCACTACAACGGCGCCCGCGGCCTCACTTTTGCCATGCTGGCCTACTTCGTCACCTGGATCTCCTTTGTGCCCCTCTGCCAATGTGCACGTGCAGATGGGCGCCATCCTCCTCTGCGCCCTGGGCATCCTGGCCACCTTCCACCTGCCCAAGTGCTACCTGCTGTTGCGGGGGCTGGAGCTCAACACCCCTGAGTTCTTCCTGGGAGATAATGCTAGAGGGCAGGGCAGCAGTGTACAGGGGGAAAGGAGACTCGGGGCAAAAACAAGTGACCCCTGACCCAGTGACCTCACCCAGTGAACCCAGACTTAGTTGAGATTCCCCCAAACCAAGTTCCTATGAAGCAACCCCCAGACTGTACCCCAGCTGCTGAGACCACCCCAGCTCTAGATCCTGACTGCAGGCTGACTGCTGACCTTGACACCACAGTGATCCTTGGGCCTGCAGCATTCACGAAGGGCCTCATACCCACCTGGGGCCTGAGAGCAGCTCTGTATCTGTCCTAGCCAAGCCTTGGCCAGGGCCAACCCAGGTGATCCAGCCCCACTGTTCCAGAAAGAGGCCCATAAAAAGGTTCCTTGGGGCTCCCGTAGCTCATGCCGAGAGCTCAGGAAAGCCCCCAGTCCGATCACTTGAAGTCCAAGCTGGGCATTACTTGCCTGGCCAGGCCCAGCCTGGAGCCTCCAGCCAGCACCCCATCCAAGCATCACAGGGAAGGGAGGTTGGTGGGTGATGGGAGCTGTTCTGACCCCTTTGCAGGGACATGTGACTGATCGTGGGCCCCAGAGTGGGACGGGAATGATGAACAGAGCAGAGGCCTACTTGCGGGGGCAGGGGATGGGGCGCACACCCAAGCTCCTCCTCTCTCCGTGGCCCAGCCCGAGCGGGTAAAATGGGGTCAGATGGCCACCAGCACCGAGGACAGAGTCCTGGGGGTCAGCACCAAGGCCAGCATCCACAGCCAAGACCCCTGGAGCCAGGAGCTAGCACCACGGACAGAGGACCAGCTGCCAAGGACCCTGCCAGCAGCCAGCACGGGGACAGAGCCTGGCGCTGACCAGGGACCCAGAGAACAGCCGCACCCCAGCCTTCTAAGGTACCCAGCAAAAGAGAAGAGACACAGGCCACACATCAGTCCCATAAAATTAAATGCTTTTTAGTCTTTAAAATAGCATTTACACAGAAGCAGCTCTATTAACTATCTGGACGGACACTCCCGACTTGATACAGTATCTACAGCGCAAATGTGTGCAGGCCAGAAACGCCAGGAAGGAAGCGGCGTGAGTGGGTGGGCAGTCACCCGAGGACAGCAAGGAGGGGTGGGCTGGCTACCCCCTCTTCCCCACACCCTGCCCCTGCAGCAGCTGTGTGCACCCGGGCCCCTTGCCCCTTGTCACATCCCCACCACCACCAGCTGAAGCACATCCCCTCCCATCTTCCCCTCACCAACCCTTCCCACTTTCCGACAGGACCTGTGTCCCTGCATTAAGTCTAAGACCCGGTGGGTGGGGGGACAGCTGACCTGGCCACCACCTCCCCCAGAGCACACAAGGCCAGGCAATAAATAAATAAATTAGATCCCTACCCCGGACGTCCACAGAGGGGCCTGGGGGCTCCGATTCCCCCTTCAGGAAGGGCCAACCCAGCCCAGGCAAAAGTGGTGGGGCCTATGACTTGGGCCAACAGGGGGCCCAGGCCCAGCAGCCTCTTCTCAGCTTAGTCTGGGGCCCTGTGCACAGCTCTGTAGGCACGTGGGGGTCCCTGAGGCACACCCCAAGGGCACAGGGTCTGCACGGACACAAGCTGCTCCAGACAAGAATGGACGGACTGCCGAACTGAGACCACGGTGGCCTGGGCTGCCCTCAGCTCCTCGCCCAGCCTGCTCCCACTCTCCCTCCAGGCCTGTGCCCCGACACGACCCCTTGTGTGCAGACACGCACAGGCTTGCTTGACCCAGGACAGCCGCCAGTAAGGCAAGCCCACAGAAGCCCCAGAGGCGGTGTGCCCTCCTGCAGGAGTGGGTAGGACCACCGGCTCCCCCACTGTGGGGCCGAGCCGAAGGCACTCTCTCCTCAGTCACATGATGTCAACGAAAAACTCACAGGGGTTCCCCATAGCCTTCTGGAAGGACTGGCGGCTGCCCGTCAGCTCTGGGGGGACAGCGGCCAGCTCCCGGACGGGCGGCCCCCCCGGCGGGCCCCCCCCCACCGAGTACGCCTTCGCTGAGGGATACGATGGGGGGAGCCCCGGGGCGGCCACCGAGCCCCGGCTGAGCTGACTAGCTGGACGATCCCGACAGCCGCTGCCCCCAACCCCGCCCGGTGCCGTGTGGTCTGACTCGCTGCCGCTGCCCCCGCCTCCAGCCGCCCGGCGCTCCTTCTCACGGCCCAGTGCCCGCCGGCTGCTCCCGCCGGCGCTCTGGGTGGACCCACTGCTTTTGCTTCCTGGAGTCAAGGACAGGGAGAGGAATGAGATGGTCAGTGTCAGGCCACGTCACTTCCAGGACGACCAGCCGCTGCCAGGGCAACCAGGGGCAGAACCTGGTAGTCTCAAGCAGGGCAGGTGGGGGGGGGGCAGCCATGCAGACAGGAGAGCAGGGCTGGCCCCACTCCGAGAAGCGAGAACAGCTGCAGCAGGCCGGGGGGCGGGGGCGGGCAGTGGCAGGCAGGCAGGGACACTCTGGGGCCAGCTCAGTGCCCCCCATCTCACCCCAATGCCTGATCTTGCAGCTGAGAGCCTGACGCACAAGTGAGGCCCTGTGTGCCCGGTGCTCCCGTCGGCCATCCTGGGCATCCCCCCCACCCCCAAGACCCACCTTCCGTCCAGCCCCAAGGCCCTGGCCAGCTACTCAGCTCAGCCCCCGTCCTGGGCTCCCAGGAAGAGCGGGGAGCCTGAGAAGGCCAGCTGGCTGGGAACATGCCGAGAGGGACGCCGGGCAGGACCCTAGCTTACCGGCCCGGAGGGTCCACTCCGCTAGTCCTTCAGTCTAAGGCTTGCTCAGCACAAAGCAAGGGATAGCACGAGTTACACAGCAGGCCCGGCCCGGACACCCATTCCCACCTACGGCGCACGCAGCCACCAGCTGGGCCTGTCCAGGGTCCACAGGCGCCCAGCAACAGCTTCCCCTGGGGCACCGCTGCCCTCTGACCTGCTCTCCTCTCTCTCCCATCCCTGTCTGGGTTTACTGGGCTAGCTGCCTGACCTCTGCCCCCTGGCCTCAGTGACACTGACAGCCTCAGGCCACTCCTCCAAGTCCCCTCCTCGGGGACGCCCCTCGATCCTCCTGCTCAGCTCTCCACACATCCCAGGGCGGGTCCACAGTTGTCTGTGGGACTGTCCACCTCCAGCTCCCAGCCGGGCTGCAGGTGCTGGGGGCAAGGTCTGTCCTCCACCGTGGCCTGGGACCTCTCTGCCGTCCTTGCCCATGCCATCTCCTGGCCTTTTGCTTCTGCTGCGCCTGGAACACCAGCACCCCCCGACACACACACACACGCACACACCCCCCAAAGTCTGCAGGGCTCTCCCCATCCCCCTGAACCACTCACCCCTCCCAGAAGGAGCTCACCCAGGGCCTCGACACAGAGCAGGGCGGAGCGCATGGGGCAGAGGGGGTGGGCACGCAGGGCAGAGCCAGGCGGCGGGGACAGCGGGGAGCTGGGCGCCCAGCAGGCTCTCACCTTCACTCTGCTGACTCCCAGCACTGCCGCTGCCATAGCTGAAGCCAGGGTCCTGGTACGCGGGTGGGAAGCAGGGCGGGGGGCCCGGGTACTGGTAGGGGTAGCCCTGACCCAGGGGCCAGGGGGCGGCCGGACGGGGCAGTGGGGCCAGCGTGTCCTGATCCGAGGCCCCACTGGAGCCGCTGTTGAGGTTCAGGGCTGCGAGATCTGGCGGGGGGGGGGTGGGTGAGGGCAGTGTGGGCAGGCCCTCTGGGGATCCCCGCCCCCCAGCCCCCACTCACTGCTGCACAGGTCCCCGAAGACGTAGTAGCACTGCTCCGAGAAGGTGATCTTGTTGACCGTGTGCCGCAGGAAGCCGCGCTTCAGCATGCTGCTGGCGTACTTGCGAGCCTCGCGCCTTTCCTTGAAGCCCTCCACGTGTGCGTATAGCCAGTCCACCACGTCCGCCCCTGGCCCGGAGCACGCATCAGGGCACAGAGCCCGGGGGGCGCACCCGCCCGCCCGGAGCCAGCCCGGCGGGCCCCTCACCAATGACGGCACTGGCGATGGTGATCTTGAGCCACATGCGGTCCCGGATCTCCAGGCCCGAGTCGGGCAGCTGCATGACGCGCACCACGGCGCCCATGTCGCTCTTCACCGTCAGAGGTGCCTCTTCCAGCTCTGTAAGGCGCAGCGCCCCCTCAGCCCTGAGCAGCCGAGGGCAGGGGGAGGCCTTGGGATGGGCTGCAGGCCCCGCTGCGGCAGCCCATCTCAGGGCCCAGGCTCCAGGTCGGGTCTGTGGTCCTGGAGCCCAGACCGTGAGGCCATCCGGTGACCGCAGGGTCCGATCCCGCCACAGGATGGACCCTCACAGCGGCGGGGAGCAGGGGTGGGTCGGGGGGGTTGAGCCTTTGTCCCCTACCCCTGCAGATGCTTCATCAGGATCTTGGGCCCAAGCCCAGGTGAGGCCAGCCCCACCCTGAGCCCCACGGGGAGAGGCCTCCTCCCCCCTCCCCGTCCGCTAGCTCAGGGCTGTTAGTCATGTTAGCCGCAGGAAAGCCGGGTGGGGGTCACCCGCGTGCACTGCCTCTCCTCCCCAGGAGAGAGGGGCCCCAGGGCTGGCCTGGCCCGTCTGGGCAACTTTCAGTCCCACCACACGGACAGCCGGCTGGAAGGAGGGTGTGCACGAGGGCACACACGTGTGTCAGCAGCGTCCATCCACGTGTGCGCCCTGGCCACACGGCAGGACGGCCCTTGAGTGTGACCGTGCGGGGCGGGCACTTCGGCCAGGCCCCTCGCCCTGGTGCCTCAGTTCCCTGCGCTCCTGAGCTGCCACTTACGTGGGGCGCCAGGCACGGAGCTGGTTAGTGAGGAGGAGCTGGTGCGCGTGATGCCGCTGGAGCAGGGACTCGTACCGTAGTGGGGCAGGGCTCCAGCCAGCGCCGCCGTGTGGGACAGCCAGGCGGCAGGGTCGATGGGCCGCACCGGGTCAGCTGGTGGCCGCCGGGTGGTGATGGACGGATGGACAAACAGACGGATGGATGGTAGCGCACGACGGAGCACGGGGCACAGAGGAAAGGACCTTCAGGCGGGGCGAGCGCCCTCACCCCCCCGCCCAGGAGCCCTGCAGGGTCACTCACCCCTCGGGACGGTGAAGTAGCTCCGGGGGGTCGGGTCCCAGCATTTGGCTACCGTGAGGCTGATGGGCCTGTGGGGTGCAGCAGGTCACACGGGCGAGGCCCCACGGGGCCCCGCCCCATGCCGCCCACCCGCCACGCCTCACCCCGTCTGGGACACGATCTCCCGCAGCACACGCACTGCGTCGTCGTTGCTCATGTTCTCGAAGTTGACGTCATTCACCTGGGGGGCGAGGGGTTCAGCGTGGCGGGGCAGGGGTGCCGGCCCCTCGGCCCCCCAGTCCCTCCCCACAGCCCCGCACCTGCAGCAGCATGTCGCCCGGCTCGATGCGCCCATCAGCCGCCACGGCCCCGCCCTTCATGATGGAGCCGATGTAGATGCCACCGTCCCCCCGCTCGTTGCTCTGGCCCACGATGCTGATGCCCAGGAAGTGGTGCCTCTCTGCAGGGGCGAGGGGTGAGCAGGTGCCTGCTGTGGGGGTGCACCCCACCCAGGGGCCCTGCACGCCCCGGGGGACCCCAGTGAGGCCTCACCCATGTTGAGAGTGACGGTGATGATGTTCAGGGACATGGTGGAGTCCGTGATGCTGCTGAAGGAAGAAGCCTGCGGAGGGACGCGAGTGAGGGGACGGAGGCAGGGGCTTCACTGGGCGGACCCCGCCCCGCGCCTGGCTGCCCCCTACACCACCTACACGGTCCGCCTGCCGCATGCGCTGCTTCCGCCGCCGGCGCTTGTGTTTTCGGATGAGCCGGGAGGACGTGCTCTGCTCCGTGGAGCTGCTCAGTCTGGGGGGCACGAAGGTCGGGGGCCAGGCCAGAGGCTGCAGGGCTGCGGCAGGGTGGAGAGCAG